CGGGGCACCAAACCCGAAGGGCAGGGCTAGCTGGGAAGGGATTCCGTTAGCTTTAGTGACTGTTGAGACCGCAGGAGACGTTCACTGATTGAAGTTCTCCCTGATCTTCCCCTGTTCTCATTGATCTCATATGCTTCTTTGTCTCTTTTTCTACTGTCATGGCCACTGTTGCTACCGTCTTTACAGCTGCTGCTAGCCCTAGTGCAGTCGTGCAAGCGATAGCAACCACCCCCGAACGAAGAGCAGCGACAGCTACGACGACAACGACGACGGCAGCGGCGGCTGCGGCGACGACGACGACCATGACGACGATTACAGAATCAACGGCTGCTGCCGCCGCCACGACGACAACACTCCTGCCGACGGGTGCCAAAGAGAGGAAGGTACTTGTACGCAAGAGGGGAAGGTAATGGTGAATGAGCAGACCTGCACCGAAGCCTACTGGTATCTTGGGCGTACACCCGATTTGCATTGTATTCCCCAGGCATGGCCCCCACCAGCAGTCAGAGGTGCAGCCCAGCTATTTATATCTCCAGCTGGTGGTTTGTAGGTTGTGGTTGCTGCTGCCGCCGCAACTGCCGCTGTGGCTTTTTCACATGCTGCTGCCCTTGTTTCTAAGGCGATTCACCTTCACAATGTCTTTAGGCGCTGCTACCATGCCCTTCAGGTTTTGTCCCCGGCCGTAAGGTTGGCGAGTCCTTGGAGTCCAGGGACGAAGTGCAGGTGCAGATGGCACTGCGCACCAGCCTACGGTGAGGGTGCGAATGCAGATCAATCAACACGAGACGGTACCTGCTACTAGCCTGTTACTATCAGTATAGTGCAGCCCGGATCAGATCCACAGGTTGCAGAATTCTTGCCCTGGCCACAGACAGCCCAGGTCGTTCAGAAGTAAAGTGTAACGGCCCTCATTTAGGACAGTTGTTTGTGAGTAACGTGTACTGCCCCAATTGAGGACAGATTTGTACATGTTTTGTTTGCAGGCGGCATGTGGCTGGCAGGGCCAGGGCAAGAGACCTTCAGGTCTGTCGAACTACGAATTGACTTTAGATCGGAAAAAGTCCACCTCTCTGCCGCTTTTTCAGATGGGTAGTTCCCAGAATTAGGGTCCCTTTTTGGTACCCCTAAATATTAGGTGCCGCAATATGATCTATAACCAGAAGGGTCCATAATTTTGGGAACAACCCCAAACCCTAAATCGTAGCTTCCATTTTCTTTCCATTATCCCCATATAACCCCAACATATATATATATATACACACCCTATTATACTATGGTAGTTTCCAGTTTATTTTCCATTAACCCTATACATAACCCCTATATACTGTAGTAGTTTCCATTTTCTTTTCCAGTATCCCTATATATATACACCCTATTCTAATATGGTAGTTTCCATTTTATTTTCCATTAACCCCACATAACCCCTGTATATATACACCCTATTGTAATGTAGTAGTTTCAACCCCTATATATATACACCACTACAAGCGGAGCTTCGATGCAACTTGCGGTGCAGGCCACAGGCTCCCCGACGAAGACCGTCGGCGCTTTAGCCTCAGAAGGTATCACTCCAAGGGTCTATAGTCCCCCTGAAGTAGATAGAATATAGGGTTGAGGATTTAGGGTTTAGGGTTTAGGATTTAGGGTTTAGGGTTTAGGGTTGTAGTCCCCCTTGAAGTAGATAGAATATTAGGGTTGTATTGGGGTTATATAGGGATAATGGACAAGAAATGGAAACTACTATTTAGGGTTTAGGGATTAGGGTTTAGGGTGAAAATCGGTTCTTATTGGCGGATCCCGATAAGTCTTTCGGGTTTAGGGTTGCTGAGCATATAGTGGCTCCAGCCCTAAACCCTAAA